ACTACGTACGCACTCGCACAGGGCGAAATACGACTACGTACGCACTCGCACAGGGCGAAATACGACTACGTACGCACTCGCACAGGGCGAAATACGACTACGTACGCACTCGCACAAGGCGAAATACGACTACGTACGCACTCGCACAGGGCGAAATACGACTACGTACGCACTCGCACAGGGCGAAATACGAAATGGGAATTTAGCATTGACCGGACGCCGAGCACCGCTGCTGATAATAACCTGCGCGTAATTTGCATTCGTAATCTTCATCATCCGAGATCGATTGATAAGCGATTAGGTTCTAGTCCAGCATTAACTGCGCATGCGTCCCGCGAAAACTAATTACTCTCGATGTCTTCCTCGTGGTGACGTCACACGTGACGCGTCGTGTCACGTGGCGGCTAACGCTCCCACTTAACGTGGTGCTCGTATGTAGTGGCGGTATGTAATGTAGGGTGTCCGCTAACATGTCATCTTTACGTGTTATTACGGTAAAACCGTTGCGTCGGCGTTTGGAAGAAATGAATAAATGAATGCACATCGGCGACGACGACGCGGCTGAATAAACATCAGGCGATCGAGGGCTAATAAATTCGAGCTCGCCTGTTAGGTTCGTGTTTCGTCCCCCGTATTAATAATAGCGCGCGGAGAAACAATTCGGCGGGTCTTCACGGAAACAGATTGTATATATGCTTAGTGTACGATCGCCGGCGTCTATTGACGGTGCGTATGCGCATAGTCAATCGACCCATTCGGATCTGCATATTTTATCAGATTTTCTGCTGTGGTTAATCCTATGGGGGCTTCCGTAAATGCGAATGTATAAATCATTAAGAGGTCTCTAAGTGGGCCTGTCACGACGTTTTTCGCGTCTCGCCTCGACAGTGCCCGAGTCTTCGTCACTGGAAATGGCTTTAGAAAAAATAGCCGTTGATTCATTAAATGGCGTTCCCGTGAAATTCCGCGCATGTATTGAAACTAGCGTATAGTTTATTGGCGTTAGGAAACCCGCAGTGGGGCTGGGGAAAGGGCAGAACGCAAATTTACGTTTCGCTTTCTTACTTAATTTTCCTTTTATGGTGCATATACGGTGAATTTAATTGCCTTCTTTGAGATTTTATTGTTAACAAAATCGTGATTTCTGAATGTGGCAAAATATTAATGAAAGCGTAAAATCTTAAGCCCTTAGATATTAGGCGGCGGCTAATTAACGATGCTGCTTAAAACGAAACCCAATTTGTATGCACATTAATTCACAGATAGATACGAGCGCACGTATACGCGCGTATGAACGAACGCACTTACACACACATACAGTCACAAAGGCGCGCACGCACGCTCACACACGCACCCACGCACTCACAAGCAAACACATACACACACACACACACACAGACACACACACACACACACACACCCGCCCCCCCCACACACACAGGAAAAACAGCTCATCTCGTGCGAATGGCTGATCAATCATAGAACTAACACACACATCGCCACGCACGAAAGGGAGCACGGCACGCGACGCCACGCACGCACGCTCACTCACTCACTCACTCACGCGGCATTAAGCTTTGTACCGCACGCACGCGCGTGCAATTTCTAAAACTCCTAAGCGCTTCCTAGTCTGTATATATAGCCTAAAGCCCGCACTGTACGACCGAAGGAAACTACCCAACGACGATGCGAGATCAAAAGACGAGACATGTCGCCTCAGCAGGGGTCACCGAGAAGACGACGAAGACAGTAGACGATCGTATCCACTACACTTTCTGCTCAATACATCGCCGACTCGTAGAACGACGTCAATGCGGGCCGGGGTTGGGTCGCGGTGTGGTACCGGGTACGACACGATGCCCGTGTTTGCAGTGAAAACGATGGGTTGCTGGCGGGGCAGCTGAGCACACACACACACGCGCTCATTACGCGTCGGTCGTTAGCACGATCGGGGGCCCCCCTATTGACTCACCAGGCACTATCGATACTGTTTTCAACGCCCTGAGAACTCGAAATGTTCGAATGCCGGCGATGTTGCCCACCTCGACGCCGAAATGCTGCAATAGGAACGTCGAGTAGCTGCAAGAAGATGGGAAACGAGAGCGAGCATTACGACACAGACGTCACGCCGTGACACGTCACATGTCACACGTCACACGTCACACGTCACACGTCACACGTCACACA